GAGAATTAGAATTTAGAGAGAAAAAATTTCCGCTTCACCCAGCCGGGAATCGAACCCGGGTCTCCCAGATACGCGCCGGGCCCTCTTACCGACTAAGCTACCGGGAACCACCGGTTCCGACTAAGCTTCAGCTAACCTCCCGAGCCGAAGGCGAGTGATATAATCCCACGAGCTAAAAAACATTTTTTCACGAGTTACGAACAATATTTTTCATCACAATGTGGCGGAAATTGGACTTTTAGGCACGCGGAGCGTGCCGAAAAGTTCACTTTTCGTCACAGCGTGATGAAATAGTACATTGTGCACCGAGGGAGGAAAGGAGGGCATTCTGACCCGCGTGTGATTTTCGCCCGAGGCGAAGCCGAGTCAGGATGTCCTCCTTACCTCCCGAGGTGCACATACTATTTTTCGTCCCTTTTGGTGGGAAGTTCGACAAAATTAATAATGAAAGAAAAATCCAGTGAGAGGTTAGATGAAACGTCATGATGAAATTGAGCATGAGATCCATTCAGTATCAATAAACACACAAATGAACAAATCAAAATGAGGGAGAAATAAGATGAATAATAAATAAATGAATTATAAATAAATTAGCAAATTCAACAAAAATTAATTAATTCATCAAAAATATTGCATTCAAAAAGACAGTTTTATTCATTTTTCAAATAAGCACAACGCAAACATTGGAAAACAACATTTGGGGAGAAATACGAAGATTTAGTCATCACTGAATGGGCATTGTTGGAAGGTCGTCAGCAAGTATGCGAAAACGACGTCTCATGAATTCCTGGGGATTTGGTAACCCCAAAAACAACGCGATCTCTCTTGGCACGTTCTTGATTGTCTTCATTCCCATTGCTCGACGTAGACATCGTCCACAGTCAAATTTCAAAAAGAATTTGCCATCGACCGGCTCTGCTGGTCGGAGACTGATATATTCCTGCACAATGTGGTGATACTCGTTTTTAACAGTGAATGAATGATCATAGTTATTTTTCTTCGGAAGTACGGATACTCTGAGTGTTCCATTAGTGAACTCGACGTCATTTGCGTTGAGATCAAATAAGTCTCTCACTCTCATCCAACCAGAATCTCCGATAATCAAGACAACCTATAAATCGGATATGAACATTAACTCTCATCATACATTTTTCTAGGTTTGTGGAATTTTCAAATACTTATGAGTTCATCAACAAATAATTTATTAATAAGAAAACAAAATGTGTATTCACTAATTGTCGGTTCTCCGTTAATTTATTTCATTCTTACTCACTTTCATCCCTAAATAGATCTCGTCTGGTGCTGTAGTCAAAAACTCATCAATTTGTCTTGAAGTAAACATCTTGGGTGCTCCTCGAAATTCTCGGATACCACGAAATCCTCTGAATAGCGAATAAATTCTAGTTTATGAGCACTATTCCATGACGAAATCATGAATAAATGACGTATGTGATGCGATTTTGTTCTGTCACTTTCACATGAACGAAAAAAAATGCATCTCACGCACGCCAATTCCGAAAAACATCCCACCAACATTTTTTTCTTAAATTATCGATTTATTAACCCAATAATTAATTAATACATAAATGAATTACAATTCCAAAACTGGAGAAATAGTTCCATAAGCGACAGCTCAATGGAAATACAGAAAAATATTCGTTCGGTGAAAATAGAATAATTCTCCGTAGTTAATTATCATAT